CCTGTTCAAAGCTCAAAGCTGTGAATTAGATGATAAGTTATTTCTCTAGAAAAAGAACAGAAGAAACCCATAAACTGGAATCCAAATAGCCAGTGAATTCCTCGTTCCTCTCCGAACGGATCTGGAACTGTTTCTGGTGGACCTGCAGTGGGGCTCCAGACTCCACCTGTTCTCGAAGCACACACGTGCCACTTGCACTGCGGTCTATGAAGTTCTTGCTTTTCTTTTTAATTTCGTTTTAACATTTATTTATTTTTGAGACAGAGAGAGACAGAACATGAATGGGGGAGGGGCAGAGAGAGAGGGAGACACGGAATCGGAAGCAGGCTCCAGGCTCCGAGCCAACGCGGGGCTCGAACTCAGTGACCGCGAGATCGTGACCTGAGTTGAAGGCGGATGCTTAACCGACTGAGCCACCCAGGCGCCCCTGAAGTTCTTGCTTTTCTAGACAGACTAAAAATCTTACATTAGCATATTGGGTTGCATTGTTTAATAAATACCACATGAAATATTTACACTGTATTTCTAAAGATAAATTATTCATATCTCCCACATTTTGATACAGGTAAAATAGGGGATTAGAAGTTATCTGAGGAAATTTCTATGATGGGCATGGGGATAAATCCTGCTTGAAAGTCTAGACAAAAGTGAAATACTCATGAGTGTCTTTGATAATGTATACTTATAGTAGGCTACAGTAATTAATTTTCATTACTTTTTCTAGACTAAAATGCCAGATAGTTATGTGTCTACTTCAGAAGCTAGAAACACTTCTGTGTAAGTTTTACAATATGCTATTCCTCGTCAGCTGTGGAAAATGAACACAAAGATTTTAATCAGGGTATATTTTAATGCAGTTGCTGGATGATTCTTTGCTCTCGTTTATAGCTAGCCGTTTTTATGCAGAACTGAAAATATGTTTTATGAGACCTGCTTTTGATTCAATATATTAGAAGGATTTTCAAGGCCTTTGAACCAAGGTTATTAATTCATAATGGTTTTTGGTTGACTACTTTAATAGTATATGTTTTAGTAAGAGGGTGCATGTAATGAAAACATTGTATTCTAAAGCTTAAATTACTGTCCTTGAAGAAATAATCATAGTAAAGCTAAGGTTATTTCAAAAATAAATTCATTTTATTCATCTCTTGAGTGAGGCCATGATAAAAGGAGAAACACAAAATTGCTTTTCTTAACAGAACAGGCTGCAGAGAAGGTCCTGGAGAGAGTATCTTTGAAAAATCTCTGTAAAGGTTACTACAAGGTAACATTGCTTTACAGATCTGGACTATTGAAAAGTGAGAGCTGCTGAATGACAATGACCATCCCCCTGATCTTATGAATAACCTCTTTCTTTGCTTGCACATGCCTCCGCCCACTGTACAATCATGGAGCGTATGCCCCTCCCCACCCCCCTTGGAATTCTCCATTCCCCATTCTCATAAACTTCAAAGGGAGATGTTAAAGTCATGGACTATATGGTCTCTCTATGTCCTTGCTGAACTATATATAAATCGTTTCTACAATTAGAAAACACTCTACCGTGTGAAACAAGATCACGAGAATGGGATTGTCCTTTGAATTCCACCACTGCTAAATCTTAATGAAAAACAAAAGGTTGACTGAACATCACTTGGAAACTAAAGTGAGATTTCGTTGGGAATCTAATCTGTAGGATGGGAAGATTTACACCACAGTGTCAGGATTGCCTGTGGAATGGTAGTGTGGCAGCACATGCTGAGTTAAACCACAGGGTGTGAAGTCAAGAGCTTAGGTATCCACAAACACTGTACTTTTCTAAGGAGATGGAGACAACCAAAAACAAACAAACAAACAAAAACGCAACTGTACAGAGGCAGTGTTACACAGAGAAGGACAGCGACAGTGGCTTGGTACAGTTAACATACCACAGCTGTGAGGGAGCAGTAAGAAGTCTCTTCTAGCTTTATCATATTTGTCTGTATTGTGGAATGGATGAGAGTATTCATTTATTGTATAGCCTAAGAAGAGAAATTGTACCAAAATATAATAAGGGTAGACTATGGATCCATTAAAGTCATCAAGAATAATGAAACCTCATTCTTTGCGGTTCTAAAATCTATGTTTTTCTTAAAGGAATTTTTTAAGTATTTAGGAATGTCTGGTTGATTTTTGTTTTCAGTCCTTTAAAGGAATATCTGTTTTCCTCATTTTCTGGCTTTTGTACTTGAACAGAGCAGTCAAATGGATCTAGGATATATGCTAAGATGTATAGGAAGGTTCAGCTGCCGAAATGCACGGTAAGGACTTCCCTCACAGGCTTATGGAGGCTTGTGGAGAAGTAAGGAAGTCTGGAATCAGAAGCAGAAATAGAAGAATAGGAAACAGCAAAAACTGAAAGTCAGCAGTGCTCCCAAAGGAGGCGGCAGGGGTCAGAGTGAAACTGTATTGGAGGCTAGGAAATCAAAGCTCCACATCTCTGTAAAACTGCTTGTGAGATTCAGCCTTTTCTGACGTAAGCGAATGAGAGGTCTGAGCAGACAGACGTGTTTGGCCAATGAGTGTCCAGGCCACACGAATCGGGGGTTCACCTACTATTCTGTAGCCACCTTAAGCACATCCTTCAGGTACCATGAGGAATAGGGGAGTACATAGCTGATTACAGTACCTCCTGACCCTCGTGTACTGTGAGACAGGGTGATTTGGAAGCTCCAAAGCCCTCCCCGACTTCAACCCGAATTGAAATTCAGCAGTATATTCCTAGCTCATAATGATGAACAGCCTGGCTCTGGCAGCAGATTTGCCCAGGTATAGATTCCACATCCATTTCTTAGTTGCTTCGTAATATTGAGAAAGATATTTAACCCAGGCTACAGTAAAAAATAAACTAGATCCTGTCACTCTCCTGATCAGAACCCTATAATGGCTTTCCATCTCAATTAGAATAAACTCTAGGGCCGCCTGGGTGGCTCAGTCAGTTAAGTGTCCGACTTCAGCTCAGGGCATGATCTCATGGTTCATGAGTTCAAGCCCCATGCTGAGCAGTCAGCCTGGAGCCTGCTTCGGATTCTGTGTCTCCCTCTCTCTCTGCCCCTCCCCTGCTTGTTCTCTCTCTCTCTCTCTCTCTCTCTCTCTCTCTCTCAAAAGAAACGTTTAGGGGCTCCTGGGTGGTTAGTCAGTTAAACATCTGACTTCGGTTCAGGTCATGATCTCATGGTTCATGGGTTCGAGCCCTGCGTCCAGCTCCGTGCTGACAGCTGGGAGCCTAGAGCCTGCTACAGATTCTGTGTCTTCCTTTCTCTCTGCCCCTCTCCCGCTCATGATCTGTCTCTCAAAAATAAATGTTGAAAAAAATGTAAAAATAAATAAATAAACGTTTAAAAACAAATCTATATTCCTTCATCAGCTGATAAGATCCCCGATAATCTGGTCTTTGCTTATGCCACTCTGATTTATTCTCTTCATTACCACTATTCTAAATTATCTTTGAGTTTACTTTTTGTCTGCCCCTCTCTACTGCTTCCTCTCCTTCTAACAGCAGAGACTTTGTCCATCTTATTCATTACTGTATCCACAGAACCTAAAACAGTGCCTGGCACAATAAGTGCTTATAACTGTTTGTCTATTTGAGCGAGTAAGTACATATTATGACATGTGCAGCTCTTAGTACAGGACCTGATAAGTAGTAAACCCACTGTAATTGTTTGTTGCTGCTGCTACTACCATCATCATCTGTTTCTTATATTAGGGTTCTGCAAATGATTTCATTTGGAAAAAAGTTTGCTACCAAAAGTAAGTTTAAATCTGTGCACTGAAGTATAATTGACCCTTAAACAATGTGAGGGTAGGAGCACCAACACCCTGCACAGTCGAAAATCCACACGTAACTTTCAACTACCCCCAAACTTAACAAATAATAGCCTACTGGTCACCGGACGCTTTACCCATAATATAAACTGTAGATTAACACATATTTTGTATATGTATTATATGTTGTATTCTTACAATAAAGTAAGCCAAAAGAAAGAAAATGTTGTTAAGAAAATCATAAGGAAGAGAAAGTCCATTGAAAGAACTTTACTATATTTATTGAATAAACTCCACATTCTAAGTGGACCCATGTGGTTCAAACCTGTATTCTTCAAGGGTCAGCAGTATACACATAGCAGAACATCACATTGTACACTTTAAATATATACAATTTTTATGTCAAAGATATCTCAGTAAAGCTGTTTAAAGAATTAGTACACTACTAAGAGAAATGTAATCCCATTTGAAAAAATAATCTCAGTTCCAAATATTTCACATTAAAAGGAAGACAAAGTTTTGAAGGCACTGCTTAATTCTTTCGGCTTCTGTGTAGATGATCTTTTGTCCATAACTGCAAAGCAAACAGGCCCAGGAGGTTTGTTCACTGTACCTTTTATTTTTACCTTTAAGAGGCCAGGAGAACTGTGAATTTAAATCAACTAAAATAAGGGCGCTTGGGAGGCTCAATCGATTAAGCATCCGACTTCGGCTCAGGTCATGATCTCGTGGTTTGTGAGTTCAAGCCCCATATCTGGCTCTGTGCTGACAGCTCAGAGCCTGGAGTCTGCTTCAGATTCTGTGTCTCCCTGTCTCTCTGCCTCTCCCTTGCTCATGCTCTGTCTCGCTCAAAAATAAATAAGCATTAAAAAAATTTTTAATCAACTAAAATAAAGTTAACTTCTGTCCTCCTTAAAAAAGCAAAAACAAAGGGGCACCCGGGTGACTCAGTTGGTTAAACCTCTGACTCTTGATTTTGGCTCAAGTCATGGTCTCATGATTCTCAGGTTCAAGCCCCACATTGGGCTCTGCACTGAGAACATGGGGCTTGCTTGGGGGTTCTCTCTGTCTCTCTTTCCCTGTGTGTCTCTTCCCCTCCCCTGTTCACTCGTGTGCCCTCTCTCTCTCTCTCAAAAAGAAACAAAACAAAAACAAAAACCTGGGAACCAGTAAGAATGCTAACACTCTGTATTTTATTTCCATTTCTATTCCAGGTGCTGCCACATCTGCAAACTTCCTGGAAGAGTGATGGGGATTCGAGTGCTTCGTTTCTCTTTGGTGGCCATCCTTGTGCTGCTGCTGGTAGCTGGGGCTCTGACCACTTTACTTCCAAATATTAAAGAAGACAAGATGCTCACTCTGCGTAGGGAAATAAAATCCCCGGGCAAGTCCACCCTGGATTCCTTTACTCTGATAATGCAGACATACAACAGAACAGACCTCTTACTGAGACTTCTAAATCATTATCAGGCAGTGCCACACCTGCATAAAGTGATCGTGGTGTGGAACAATATTGGGGAGAAGGGACCGGATGAGTTATGGAATTCTCTAGGGCCTCACCCCGTCCCTGTGATCTTCAAAGTACAGACAACAAATAGGATGAGAAATCGACTCCAGGTCTTTCCTGAACTGGAAACCAATGGTGAGTTGCAGCTGGGTTCTTAGCCAGCAAGGGCTGCAGCTAACCGGAGCTGGGAGGCGGGCATGTGTATTTCTGGCCTTCTGTCGTAATTATGCTGAGAAAGTAGGAAAATTTAATCAAAAGGAAACACTTTGAAAAACTTAAGGGGCCAATTTTCAAGATGTCAAGAAGCAGTTTCCTTGGGAAGAAATCACACGTCTTGCAACAGTGACAGAGAGGTTAATGTTGTGAAAGAAGATACACTATAATTACATATTGTATCAGAGAAAGTAGTAAAATGGCATTCAGCTTATGCTTAATGTATTTCTTTGCTACCTCCCTTTTCCTCCCATTCAGAGCAGTTTTTTGAGCATTGCAATTTGCTTAAAAGATCCCCAGTCTTGTTTATTTGCGTGATCATTCATTTCTAGGATAGTGGGTGATAACTGCATGATCATTTCCCAGTCAGGCAATTATGAAATCAATTACAATTCAAACACACGCTTTTTCTACAAGACAAATGTCTCCAAGAATACATTTCTTGTTCACTTATTTTGTCCAGAAAAGTATTCCTTTGAATGATCTATCTAGACACCGTCTAGATACTAGTTTTGTTTTCATTTCCAAACTGTTGGATTCAAATTTGTCTCTCTCTCGTTTCAGCTGTGTTAATGGTAGATGATGACACACTAATTAGTGCCCAAGACCTTGTCTTTGCTTTCTCGGTTTGGCAGGTAATGTTGCTGTTTCCTTTACGAACTCCTCAGCATGAAGGTCTACCCAGGGTAGTGTGGATTAATGTGGGAGTCACCTCAAACAGGGTAGACACTATTTATCTAAAAGAAAAGTTTGGTGCATGGTAATCAAGATTTCTTGTGTTCAGTTAAGCCAACCTGCAAGTTAAGTTATCTTTTATCTGTATTTGATTTATATTTGGTATATTGGGGAGAAGAGCTGGAACTACTTTCCAGAGATCAATGAGGAAACTATCTGATATAGCCGAGACTGGAATCGAGGGACATTTTCTACAAGGCCACAGATCTGTATCTCAAAAGAGAAGTGTATCTCTGTATTAATATTGTATATAACTTGCTTTAAAAGAAAGCACTTTACACCGACAAAATTTAATCCTAATTCTGGAACCCCTTTTTAGAAATTAGTGATAACAGAAATTCCAGTGCATCATTGTGGTGGCCATTTTATTTATTTGTTTATGTAGGTCTTTTCCTCAATCATAGCTGGAATAAACAGACATAAATTGCTTGCCATTCTGTAAAAACAACTCTTTGCTCGTGAATATGTGTTAATAGTACTTGGCTTTTACAAGTTGTAGTTCAGGGGCACCCAGCCGCCTCCGTTGGTAGAGCATGCGACTCTTGACTTCAGGGTCATGAGTTCAAGCCCCACATTGGGCATGGAGCCTACTTAAAATAAATAAATAAATAAATAAAAGTACCATGTAGTATCCAAAATCTTTGGGGCACCTGGGTGGCTCAGTTGATTAAGCATCCAACTCTTAATTTTGGCTCAGGTTATGATGTCACAGTTCACAAGAGAGAGCCCTCATGGGGCTCTGCGCTGATAGCATGGAGCCTAATTGGGATTCTCACTTTCCCTTTCTCTCTGCCCCCCTCCCCATGCACACGTGTATGCTCGCTCTCTCTCTCTCTCTCTCTCTCTCTCTCTCAATCTCTCTCTCACTCAAAATAAACAAACAAACTTCAGAACACAACAAGTTGCAGTACAGTTACCTGAAACCAGAACGAACCACATACCAATAATCTGAGCTGTGTCAGATAATTAAACACTGTGCTACCCAATACTGGTCTAATTTGCACTATAGTACCTCTCCTTAATTAGCTACTTGGGATATAAGAACATTAGATATTAATGGTAAGTGGTCACAGTACCCTGTAGATACCACTGCTCTCAAAACTTCAGTTTCAAAATTCATGCTGAGTATACTGATCAACAAGTTGTTTTTTTTTTTTCCCCATCAGCGCTTTCTCCAGCCTTGTAAATAAAAGCTCTTTAGGCAAAAAAATTCTAATGTAACACTCCAGCTGTGAAATTTCTATTTCAGGTAGAACATCAATTTACCTAAAATGTCTGGGGTCGGGGTAAATAGAACCATGGTTAATTAGAACAATCCAAGTAAACCATAATTAAAGATGGACAAATATGATTTTTAGGTTTTCTTCGTAGAAGAACAAGCAAGAACAGTTTCAATCCATTGCCCAAGGTAACCCGACTCCCAAAGTCAGTCCCATCAGTGCCCTGCATGGTGTAGTGATGTGAGCGAGAGAGGCAGGCAAGGCTGGGATGGACATCTATCAGGCCTTTGTATTTATCTACTTAGTGCTGTGACTTTTCCTCCTCTGGTCATCTGTGGAACTTCACTCATCCTCCTAGATTAGGTAAATGGCACATCCTCTCTGAAGCCTCCCGTCCTTTATCATTGACCCCCTATTCCCCTTTGCCTCCCAGCAATACAGCTGTCACCCTGTCCTCGGTGCTTCCAAGAGGTTTACCCAACTGTGTGTACAAGCATCTCGTAGTATGGGAATCCTTTGTTCACATATCTGGATCATGTCCTCCCCAGACTATGCAGTTTTTGAAATGGGAATTAACCCACCTGATGTATGTGTGTGTGTGTGTATGTGTGTGTGTGTGTGTCCCTCGTTTAATGTCTGTTCAGTAAGTGAGTGAAACACAAATTACTTATGAGATTGAACTAAACCCTTTAACTCTATAAATTCTTACTTCTTTTCCATGCTTCACTGGTTTTCTCTGGTTTGGTGATTTTTATTGTTAGTTACTCTCATCTTAATATTATTGTTTTACTGCTATCTTTTCTTCAAAGATCCTGCTGACATCTCGTTATATAGTTTTCCTTGTATTTTTTTTTTAAAGTTTATTCATTTTGAGAGAGAGAGAGAGCAAGCAGGGAGGAGGCAGAGAGAGACAGAGAGAGAATCCCAAGCAGGCTCCACACTGTCAGTGCAGAGCCCAGGGCAGAGCTTGAACTCACAAACTGTGAGATCATGACCTGAGCCAAAGTCAGGAGTCGGGCACTTAACCAACTGAGCCACCCAGACACCTCATTTTTTTTTTCTCATATTTTTAAAAAGGAAACACCCAAGCTGAAAGGGAGAAAAATATAACATTGTTTAAGATCAACAGTGACTTTCAAAAACATTGAAATCAACATGGAAAAACAGTAGAATCATACTTGTAGATCCATAACTTTATGTACTCCTAAGAGATTAAAACCATTTTTCAAAATAATCACACTGTATCTTTTTATCTGCTATAATGAATAGCACTCATACAGTCAGCTTCTCCTGCAGCAAACTTTAAAGAACCAGACTCCTTGGTGACTAGAATTTATTAATATCAGATATCATTTGAATTAAAAGAACATTTGTAAGGTTAGAAATTTTGTTAGGTATTTGGGTTGCGATGGAATTTGACCTACAACTGATCAGGACATAGATTTATCAAGTTGCCTGGAGTCAGATGAAATTGAAATGTAGAAACCAGGAATAAAATGAAGTTGATAAATCAGTTCAATTCTCTCTGTAATAAATAATTGCCTTTTTTACCATGTCTGCTCTGAAGAAATGCCACCCTTAATTGTTCTTTTTTCCATCTTTTCAGCAATTTCCTGATCAAATTGTAGGATTTGTTCCTAGAAAGCATGTGTCTACTTCATCAGGTATCTACAGTTATGGAGGTTTTGAACTGCAAACACCGGGGTTTGGAAATGGTGACCAGTACTCTTTGGTGCTGATTGGAGCCTCATTCTTCAATAGCAAATACCTTGACCTCTTTCAGAGGCAACCTGCAGCTGTCCATGCCTTGATAGATGAAACCCAAAACTGTGATGATATTGCCATGAATTTTATCATTGCCAAACACACTGGGAAGACTTCAGGGGTATTCGTGAAACCTGTAAACATGGGCAATCTAGAAAAAGAAACCAACGGGGGCTATCCTGGAATGTGGCATCGAGCTGAGCACTTCCTGCAGAGATCTTATTGTATAAATAAGCTTGTTGATATCTATGATAGCATGCCTTTAAAATACTCCAACATTATGATTTCTCAGTTTGGTTTTCCATATGCCAACCACAAAAGTAAAATATGAGAGTAAAACAAACAAAATCAAACCTCAAAACTGCTTTGTATTTGAGTAGCTTCTCTGCACTACAATTGGTGTGGTTTTTTTGTTTGTTTTGTTTTTGTTTTTTTAAGCAACATCATGAACTTTTATCCACTACAGAAGTCTCTACAAAGGAGAAAATGTACAGTGCTTCTAGGACATAAAAGTCACATGAACTTCAAAAGCCAAGAAGCTGGTACTCTCTTGATAGGTCTTCTTGTGAGGAGTTTTCATCCGCAGAGAGAACTCCTTGGCCAGCGATTTTAATGTTTACATTCTGAGACTTCTAGACTTCTACAATTTCGTTGACTCATGGCATTTGCCTTAAGGACCTATTGCAAGTTGTCTCCAGGATCAGAAACTCCAGAGAAGCATTTCTCAGCTTTTTCATTAAAGGATGATTGTTTTCATTTGAAGCCTGAGATGCCTCGTTAGCAAAAGCCTGTGGTGTAGAGAAAAGCCATGTGAGGCGAGGATAATCTCAATCCCTTATAAAAACAAGTAGAAAACTCATGACTACCATGCTTTCATTGTGGTCTTTCCAGCACTAACTCAGCCTGGCATGGTTTCGATGCATCAATCACTGCTTTTATTTTCATTGATAAGTCTGTGTGACTGGAAGTGTTCATTTTAGTAGCTGAAGGATGTCTCATTGATCACTTGGTTTTTGTGAACATTTACTGCATGGATCACAGAAAAGTGCAGCCTGTGTTTCTCATGTGCAACTTATATGCAGCAAGGAGTAAATGTGTTACTAGATTCAGGTAGTGCATTTTGGCCCTGAATCTGACCTTGAGAGTATACATTGATTCTTATATTTTACATAAACCATGCATTGTTGTTTAAGAAACTTCTAAAATAATCTTCTAAAAGAATGCTTTAATTAGGAACTGGCAAAAGTTAAAACCCTTGGTGTCAAGAGATATTTGTTGTTAGGGCATAGGTTACCTCATGGATACTGAAGTTACGTGTATTATACACAAAGTTAATTTCTTGTATTCAGAGCTGCTGCTGCTGCTGCTTTCAATTTCCCCCCAAAAAAGACTCGAGGCACCATTCATCATGATGAAATTTTGATTACATGGATACAGGAAAAAAATAAGAGAACTGAATCGTAGCAGAGGAATTTTATACAGAGTCTGCATCAGTAAATTGTTGAATTGCTCACTCTGTTGCGTGAATTAGTATCTGTGTTCCACAGAGTGTCCGTGTTTGAGTCCTTGTTCATACTAGTAGCAAGGAATATTTAATTAAGCTTCATCACCTCCTCTTCTTCTCCCCCTTCTTCTCCCATAATGTCATTATATTCTCACAATTGCAAAGCTGTGAAAACATTGTTACAATCATGGTTAATGTTCCAACAATGAAGTCTGTGTGCAATCAGTTCAGTACATGTTGTTTCTTTACCTTGGCATGTGTATGTGTCTTAATGCAGTCAGATAAAGCCAGTAGAACTCAGAACCTCACTAAAAATCTATAATGTTCATTATCTGCTTTGGTCAACCTTGGTAGTGATTTTTTTGCCTCTTGGGATTCCACTGGCAGATAAATAAAATCAACTTCTACCATGAAGATGTTCTGTTAATTAAGCAGACTCACATTTTTGTGGTTGGTATTTTTACAATTGCTAAATGTTCTAATATATTGTTCAGGGTAAGGCAGAGGCATTAGTTACATTCTCTAGGGGGAGCGGGGTGGGGGGAGATTCTTCAGTGGGAAAATATTCCCAGATTTTATTTCCCATTTTGTGTTCTCAAACTTGTCAGAGGCATCACATAAGTTAATCATGTCATGCTTTTCAGGCATTATAGAGCAAATATGATAACAAAGCGAAGGTCAATCTCTGATACAGGCACCCTTGCGTTGTGGCTGGAATTCTAAAACTGTTTTTCTCTGGGCACCTCTGGCTCCACATGATCGGGAGAAGAGAGGATGCTCGGGTTTGAAACTGCATGAGGAAAACAAGGTAGCTCAGAGGTGAAGGGTGCCAGGAGAGTGCTTGGATTCAAGTCCTTCCTTAGTCTCACGTTTACTTAACTTCCTGAAGCATCGGTTTCCTCATCTGCAAAAATGAGAGTAATATCTACCGAGGGGGTTGTTTTGAGAAGTAAAGGAGATACCTTGTATAAATATAGGAGAATGCTTTGCCCATCTTAAATGATCAATAAATGAAAGCTGTTGGGGTGTGTTATTGATAGTAAGTGCAGTTAATTCTACAACTCACCACCTAGGTATTAGGCCCCTGGACACACCAGGTGAAATATTCAAGAAATTATTTCTACATAACAATGGGCAGACAACCAAGGAAATTTTCATGTCATTTTCTTTATTTCAAATGCCCTCTTTCTTATTCTTAAAACAACACCTCTTCAGGGGCACCTGGGTGGCTCAGTCGGTCGAGCCTCTGACTTCAGCTCAGGTCGTGATCTCACAGTCTGTGAGTTCAAGCCCCGCGTCGGGCTCTGTGCTGACAGCTCAGAGCCTGGAGCCTGCTTAGGATTTTGTGTGTGTGTGTCTCTCTGCCCCTAACCCACTCACATTCTGTCTCTGTCTCTCTCAAAAATAAATAAACATTAAAAAAAAATTTAAAACACCACCTATTCACTGGCAATTTTGACTTATTCAGAACAACGCCAAGAAGAAATGACAAGCACACCACGACATTAACAATGGCTAAACATGTTTGTGTCTATTCCTCCTGACTTTCCTAGGCATATATTTTAAGAGCATAATTTATTTGGCATTTCATTAGAGGGATAAACTATATATAATCAATGGTATTACAATTTTGTTTGACTTCTTACTATTATAACAATATTTGGGTAAGTGCCCTTGCCTTTGAGCACATCTATAATGATTCCTTTATAATAAGGCCAAGAACCTCAATACCTGGATCTACAAGGTATGTGTGTTTTTCGAGTTTTTTATACATATTGCTATATCATTCCAGAAGCATTTCCATAACTCACTATTAGTATCACATCTGAGGGTACCTGTTTCCTGTCAGACTTCCCAACACTGCATACTATTTAAAGTTTCCTTTCCTTTTTCTATGTACAAAACACATGAATGTTGCAGGATTTGGAAGGACTTGGCTATATTAAGAACTCTGTTAAGGCTGAAAAACAGGCAGTCAACTGTCAAATAAAAGATTCAAAGGCAGTGTAAGCATTAGGAAACTTTGAAGTGAGTCTAGAAACTCTTTGCTCTCAGGCTTGAAGTATAGGCAAGGAATTTCTGACCCTTTGCTGGTCCCAGCAAGAAAAAATTTGGGAGCAACAACAGAAAAAATGCTCACACTTGTTCCTCTTGGAAAGACCCAAGGTTTTGACCCAAAGGTGTGTGTGCATGCTAATGTGTGCACACTCATGCACACTTATGGATGCAGGCGGGGAGGACAGGAGGTAGAGGGAATGGGGAGGAGGGAATGGAGTGGAGGATCATGCTGTGTTGGAGGAAGGACAGGGAGGTGCCAAATCTCACTGGCTGCTAGGGCTTCAATGGTGAGAGGTGATCATCCCCTACCCCGTGCTATTTCATAAACCAGTGTTTATTCTGCAAGAGTTCCTCCGATTTCGTGTTCTCTCTCTCCCTCTCTCCTCCCTCCCTCCTCCCTTCCATTCCTCCTTTTTGAAAAAAAAAATTTAATGTTTATTTATTTTTGAGAAAGAGACAGAGAAAGAGTGTGAGCCAGGGGAGGGACAGGGAGAGAGGGAGACAGAATCTGAACCAGGCTCCAGGCTCTGAGCTGTCAGCACAGAGTCTGACACGGGGCTCATAAGCCCACACACGTGGCTGTGAGATCAGGACCTGAGCTGAAGTTGGATGCTCAACCGACTGAGCCACCTAGGTGCCCCTGTTCCTCCTTTTCTTCTTTCATAAAGGCTCTCTCAGTATAAAACCCAAAGTTTTCAAAAACATACTTACTGTAGATGAAATGCAAACATTTGACACATTTTGGAAACACGCACTGAGTCCTGGCTCCACTTAGTCTACACATTAGGGCATAATGTGTAGAGAGAACTTCATAGCATCAGGAAAACATGAGACTTTTTAAAAAAGCCATTACAGATAAAGGAAGAGCAACTTGGCCAAGAGTTCAAGAAACCTGGTCATGAGTTAGCTGTATCAAAATTATGCCTTAGAGAATAAAGAACCAAGAGTGACTATTCAAGTACTGGAAACAATTTAAGGAAACCATTTTATTAACTCTGGCTCAGAACAGAATATTTAGATGAAGTATTTATCTAAACTAGCAATGACTCCATGCTTTCTTTTCATATGTCAATATTTTATTTGAAAAGAAAAAGAATGAAATTCTTGAACAGAATATTTTAAGTAGTTAAACATAAAGGAGGCAGCTTTAATTTACCTCAGTGGTTCTTAACTCGGTCTGATTTGACCACCCACCCTCCAGGGGTCACACAGCAGTGTTTGGAGACATTTTGGTTGTTAAAATTCCAGGCATGCTACTGGCTTCTAGTGAGGATGCAGCAGCAGCCCCCAACACAAAGGGTTAAGTGTCACAAAATGTCAATAGTGCTGAAGTTGAGGGAAAATGTGCTTGACATTCTATTATAGAATATTGGGTAATTTATCTGTATAGCGCATACTTCATCACAGCGCAAGTTTCAATGTTGTGGTTTTATCCTGTATAACAGTGCCTCTTGGAACAGAAAACTAAGGGGTCGGGGAACATACTTCTATTACTGATAAGACATCTGGTGCATAATTCTGTTATCCCAAATCTGATGGAAAAGCCAGAAATTTTTCTGGTTCAGGTTTATTTCTGCCCGCTTTTTCTTTCTGATCCACATTTTGTGTCTTCATTTTCCCATCTGAAGAAATGGAGCTTCATTCTCTGGGAAGGACCTATAGACAAATACCTATTTCTGAATCACTACCGGGCAATATTACATAATACAGTGTATATTTTAATAACACCTCTCTAGTTAGAGAAAGTCAGGATGATTGAGTTAATGTAAGCTAAATACAAATTCTCAAATAATCATATTTGAGTGTTCAAGTATTTTTGGTTTAAATAATAAGCTTAATAAATAGCAAGGAAAGACAATTTACATAGAAGAGAATCCTACAGTGTGAGATTTAGGAAACATTTTTCTCCTATCAGCCAGGTGATGATTTAGGTTATGTAAATTTATCTGGGTCACAGCGTTCACATCTATAAAAGAGAGAAATGAACTAAATGATTAGTAAATTTCTTTCCAGTTGTAAAATGCCGTGACTCCAAATCAGTTTTGAATTAGTAGGTTTTAAAGCAACCAGGTTATACTTCCTGACAAGAAAAAATCATTCCTTGGAGTTTAGCCTTGCTGGAGCTTCCTATCTTCCCTACACCCTCCGTCTATCTCCCGGGAGTCCTTTCTCAAAGTGAATACTAATTCAATACTAATACAATTATTACAAATTCAATTAATAAACATCACTACAGTTTTACTGTTTTAGAGCCAAAAGACATCATGTTCATGATGTGCTGAGGATGAGAAAGATGATGATGCAATTGTTCAGTGGCAAACACTGACTAGATGAGGTTATGATTTAAAAGGTGGGATACTGGGGCGCCTGGGTGGCGCAGTCGGTTAAGCGTCCGACTTCAGCCAGGTCACGATCTCGCGGTCCGTGAGTTCGAGCCCCGCGTCGGGCTCTGGGCTGATGGCTCAGAGCCTGGAGCCTGTTTCCGATTCTGTGTCTCCCTCTCTCTCTGCCCCTCCCCCGTTCATGCTCTGTCTCTCTCTGTCCCAAAAATAAATAAAAACGTTGGAAAAAAAAATTAAAAAAAAATAAATAAAAAAAAAAAATAAAAGGTGGGATACTCCTGGAGACACCTGGGTGGCTCAGTCAGTTAAGCATCTGTCTCACTCTGGATTTCAGCTCAGGTCATGATCTCACCGTTGTGAGATGAGCCTCACATGGGGCTCTCTGCCGAGCATGGACCCTACTTAAGATTTTCTCTTTCCCTCTCTCTCTCTCTGCCCCTCCCCTGATCCCACTCACACACTCTCTCTCAAAAATAAATAAGCATATAAAAAAGGAATAAAAATAAAAGGTGTGTTACTTCTCAACCAAGCTTCTGTTGCTACTGGCCTTCTTGAAGATTCCAAAGAGACGCAACAGGTTAATAAACCACTTGAATCAAATCGAACTGTGAATTGGAAATGATCGGGTGCAGCTGCTAATTGGTTAAATTCAGAAAACTTGTATTTACAAGTTTAAAAGACTGAATTAAACTTAAAAAATTTTCCCTTTTTCTTATTTTTTAATTTCATTTTTTGTTTTTTAAAATTTATATCCAAATGAGTTAGCATATAGCGCAACAATGATTTCAAGAGTAGATTCCTTAATGCCCCTTACCCATTTAGCCCATCCCCCCTCCCACAACCCTTCCAGCAACCCTCAGTTTGTTCTCCATATTTATGAGTCTCTTCTGTTTTGTCCCCCTCCCTGTTTTTATATTATTTTTGTTTCCCTTCCCTTATGTTCATCTGTTTTGTCTCTTAAAGTCCTCATATGAGTGAAGTCATATGATTTTTGTCTTTCTCTGACTAATTTCA